TATGAACTGAATCACATAGGAATAACTTGCATATAAGTCAGCATGTATTCTAATATAATAACTTTGAGCCGTCAGCAACCTTTGGGTTGACCGTAGTTCACGTCGCCTCCTGCGCCGAATAACTTTGAACCAGAGTGCTTAAGATGCTACGTCCTTCGGTACTCGAATAGGACGAAAGTCACACGCGGAGGCAAAAGTTGTAATTTTAGAGACGACGGTGACAATAGAATGCATTACTTGAGGCCCATCCTCCTGATTAAGCCCCCTCACACATACCCCGCCGTCACAGAGCTATGAATTTAATTTTTGTTTTCACAGCTGGGCCAATATGAATTCTCGTTATCTCCAAAATGCTCAAACTCTATGCGGCAAATTCATTTTTCCGATTTTAAATAGAGGAGTAGAAATCTACTTTTATCTTATTTGAGATTCCTTTTGATTTAATTTTTAAGATATTCAAATGAGAGTAAATTGTTAAATCGTCTCGTTTATAACCCCATCATTCACTTATTTTCAAGTCAATGTACTCCGATCTTAATGTCAAAAACAACGTTTAGGATAAGGCTGCGTCTGTCCTTATTTCCTTGACTTGTTGGCGTTGCGACATTCAGATGCGATACTTTTCAGTACTCGCTATAACATACCTAAATATGAGCTTTGAAATAAATAGAACTGTCCGTTATTCATTTCGCAGTGAACCGATACCTGTTATTGCTACCACAACCGTTCACGAGTCCTATGGAGTCAGTAAGTTTTGCATATTCATTTATCTTGAACTTGTTTAAAATGCTTTCAGAAAGACAGTTTTCAGGTTTGGAATGGCAATACTGACATTCCCTAGTCCAGTTGAGATTGTGTTTGGCCGGATTCTGAAGACCGTCAGTCGGGAGGCAAACTACCCAGAAGCAAAAGCCATGAAACTCAAATCGCTTGCTTATCATGCAATTGTATTTTGCTATTCATGCCAGCATTCTCTACTACAGGATAAAGCGCGACACCTGGTTATATTTTTGAAGATTTAGAAGACCAATGACAAGCATATATGTTTTCGATTAATTCTCATGGGGGCAGTACGTTTATATGGGAATGAGGTTTAAGTAAAACATGTGAAAGATAAGGAAAATCGATTCCAGTTTGTCTCTTATACAAATTTGGTGTAAGAACAGGAGGGGAGGGAAAAATAGTAAGCAGTGAGTCAGGAAGCAGTGAGGATCAGAGGAAAGGGGCGAGGGAGCGGAGGGGGTCATTCGGTTAACCGGCTTTTGGGGACGGTGGGCGCGGAACTTGTATCAGGTTCTCCTGCGCTCACAAGATCGACTCTCGTTTCACGATGGCGATCGACCTTGCTTTTGCTAGCAGACACTGACCCAGTAGCTTGAAGTAGGTCGACGTGAATATTACGCGAAAGATGTCACTGGCGTCCACACAATGATTGGAATCAACAATTCGGGCGATAATGGCGTCTTCTATGCTTGTAATTTCGCCTTTTCCCAACTATTCCAGCAGATGTTCACGGGCTTTTTTGGATAGGCGACAACTCGTGCGAATTATGAAGCCTGCCCCCCCCCACAGGAGCAAGCAAAGGGGTAAATAGACATGAAGCTAATCTGAGCTGACAAACTCTCCCTAACTTCTCCGTCTAAAAACGGTCTTGGTCGGGAATGATACACGAACTCTTGTTGTTGGAGAAGTTCGCAGAACAACATGGTCGAGGCGTGTTCTCGGGAGTTTATTCGTTCGTCCCCTTAAAAAGGGAGACTGAGGGACGGAGTTTTATTTGTTCTTTTTTATGGGAAATTTGGAGAAATTTCAACTAAACGACCAGATTCATGAGCTGAGGCATTACAGTCGTTACGTTGGTGAGGTCTTCGCAATCGCCATCACAAAAACCAACACAGATGTTGTAATTCAGGCACATCCGTCGTTTAAGTTTTTTTGATGGTGCAAACGGCGGGTTCGCTCTCCTTCTTAGACATCCTTCTTGGCAGAAGATCTGCCAGTATCATTCAAAGCAGGGTATATCGGAAGAAATCTTGGTCTGTACAATATATCAAATTCCGTACTTTAGAACCGCTCCAAAAGAAAGACAACCTATTCCGTTCTCTGGCCCAAAAAGGTATAAAAATCTGTTCGGAAGATAGTCTAGAAGTATCCGGTATCTGCTTTGCCAGAACACGTATCCTGACACGTTTATTGCAAAGGATATTACGGTGGGAGTCGCAAAACCCACCACAATGACAGCAGAATAGAAAACCTTGTTCCTCGAAGCCCCTGTTCAAGGGAACTCAGAGAGTGAACTGAGATGACGTCCTGACCAGGCTATTTCATAAGTCTTCCTAGCGACAAGAGTTTAGGCAGTTTTCCTGACTAATCCTGTTTTTTGAGGAGTAGGTAAGGATATAAGCTCCACGACCACCAGGGCCAAAAGTGACTTAACTACACTCATCCTTCAGCGCCCTCCCCCGTCACCCTAGCTCTCATTGACTCCTAACGCACTGTTTTTATTCCTCTTCTTCTTCTTCTTCTTCTTCTTCTTCTTCCTCATCCTCCTCCTCCTCCTCCTCCTTCTTCGGCTGGTCTTGTAAATCCTCCCATCGGAATGGTTGAAGATATTTGCAATTATCTGGTATTATTTTTATGATCCTCTGCCGTATCTTTCAGTAGTCTCTTTGACCTGTCTAATCTCAAATTTTGTGATCAACTAAGCTACCCATCTTCAACTGCCTTGAATTTGGTTTTTCATCATACGGGTACGGACTAGGCTAGCTCACCTTTACTAATGTTTTGACCAAGCGGAATGTTGTTCGATTTTTTTCTCAAATGTACCCACAGGGCTGAAAGTGTATTCCATAAGTTGACGATCCTTAATGTGCGTCTTCAAATTTCTAACGAATGTGTGACGGAAAAATCATCAGAGTATGCAAACTTCATCACGACGAACAGGCAAGCATTGGGTACGTTCCAAAAATACCCGAAATCACAAAGACAGGGTGGTTCCTATTTAGAGGATTCGTTAGGTACCTTTTAATACACCAGGTATATTGTCATAAAAACTTTGAAATTTCGTTAAAGACCAAAGAATGAATTGGGGAAATTCGAGCTAGATGCATTAAACTGCAGTGCAAGGAATAAATGCGGAAATATTGATAACCTCCAAAATAGCTAAAAATGTGTCTAGATAGCCCTGGTGTACCATCTCAGACTATTTGTAAAAATACTGTAATATCAGAACGGTATTTACGCAATGATGCAAAGCCTAAAACTCAACGGCGACCAATTACTCCCAAAACGATCGTGAATTCGGGGAAATGACCAAATCGTTGTTTACCTTCCTATATATAAAAAAGCGGTTTCAGTTCACTTAATACGTGCGACTTCTTGGATTCGGATACCTTTAAATATGTAGGCTTTTGTACATTTTCGATTTGTTTCACTACACTTTCTTGTACACCTGACTTTCCTGTACATTTGTTTGACTAAACGGAAATACACATTAACAACTCTGCGGCGGTCATCGTGTGTTCTGGTTTCGAGTGTGCTTGATGT